GATGCTTAAACCACGATCACGCTACCAGAACCGCCTCGTTATCTCTGGTTCACTTTTATTCTACACAGAAAAGCAATTCTGTCGACAAACGCGACTGGGTCTTACGATGAAACATATTCATTATGAAATTTATATGAGAGATTATTTTCCAGAAGATATTTCACGAGTATTTTTTTCCATCCACCATCGTCCATATTGAAGGGGTGAAAACAGAGCTCAAAAGTAGAGGTTGAAAGCATGTTCTTAGGAATATCTGAAGAAACAAAAGGAATGAAGACAAATTTTTCTTTCTTTTCAAAATATTCAAAAATAAATATTTTTTACACGAAGAAGGCAGCCAGTATAGAAATTTTGATGAAAGATTAATTGCTCGTTTCGAGAAATGGCACGAAGAATAATTCCCTTTAAATTAATTTCATTTTAATAGTTACTCGTGTGAGAAATAAAGTAAAATGGAAAATGAGGGACCACTGTGTTTTAGATGCATTTAGCAACTGTTTACGTGCAATTCTGTGGCCTACTTTGCATTGCAAATAGAATTTTGATAAAATTGCATGCCAATTCCTCGTGAGTTTGATTACTTTCAGAAGATAAAATAAAACTCATATTTACCATATCAAAGGATAAATCTCCGCGAGTCGGATTACTTTCACGAGTTTCCTGTATCGGATATGAAATAAACTAAACTACAAATCGGAAAATAGATTTACAAAACTACTGCATATAGGTGCATTTCAAAACCATTCCTATGCAGCTCTGCATTCCAGTTCGTATACCACCACGAGTAAATGGCACAAGAAATAATTGCTCGTGAATCAGATTACTTTCACGAGTCACCCATGTCGAATACAAAGTAAAATAAAATCAAAACCAACAAATAACTTCACAAAATTCCTATTTGTGTACCATTTGTCTACCATCTAAAGGAAATGGCAGAAAGAATAATGAACAGAACCTGATATAAAGTCACCAATGTGGAATATAATATACAATAAAATAAAATAAAATTGAAAGTAACTAATAGCTTCACAAAATTACCATTTGTCTACCATCTAAAGGAAACGGTCCAAAAAATAATTGACCATTTCCTCACGTCTAATATATTCATGAGATAAACTTAAAATCTATCCTATGCAGTCCTGCATTCCAAAAAAAAAAAAAAGAAAAAAATGTGAAGAATAATTCCACAAGAGTCAGATTTCTTCCAGAACCAAGAAAATCTGCTGGAACGCGAGAAAATGGAATAAGACGAAGAAAATAGGAGAAAAAAGAAAGCAAGAAATAGATTGGCAAAACGGATTGGCATCGAGGTCGTTCGCGAATTGTCCTTTGACGTGCTCTTCAGAATTCCGTGATTAGATGAATCGTGCATGCGCCCTGCCGCGTTTTCCCACGTCACAGTTCGTTCGAGTGCGTTTTTCCCGAGGCTGGCTCCTTGATAGGCGACGAGGATTGCGCTAATTGCCACGACCTCGCCTCAATTGATGCGTATCGCGTAAAAAGCAGGGTGAACCACGACTCGTTTGGTACCGGCGGAAAGTGCTCCGTTATGTTCCCTCTGGTGAAAGGCGATCGCCATTGACGAAGCGATATCCTGGCTTGCCTTATCGTTCCTGCCAGTGCAGTCGACCTGGCCATCCACCGATTCTGTGCCTCGTCGATATCGGTTCTCCATTAACGCAGACCGCTAACGCCATCATCGCAGGGTCACCTGAAATACAGTGATGGTCAAAATATAGGAACACACGAGTATCTCTAACTTCTATCCAATAATTACCGTGCAGTAAATGTAGCCTAATAATAAAATCGAAATTGCATTCACTGCAAAATTCCTTGCTGATATGAAATATAATTTCTTCTTTCTATGGGGTTCCTTCGTGTCGACCAACGTTTACACTTTCTAGTGTCCGCCATTGTACGTCGAGAATGTAATTAAGCCTAATTTATTACTTCTTAATCCCTTGGGGACGAGTGACTATTAAATGGCCACTCAGTGTCTTTTGCTGTTATGGGTAATATACGAAGAAATATTGTTCTGTTGTTTCTGTGAAGGAGAGAATAAATTTCGTTGGTATTTTCGCCTCTTGTTCTGCTTATTAACTATTCAATTTCATTCAGCTTCAACGTAGTATCACTTGGATGTAGTAACATGGGAAACGAAGGTCGCTAATATGGATTTTCATGTAATTAAGAAGCACCTTGGAAACGTTTTTGTAATTAATTTAGCGACTAATGCGATGAGATATCATGGATGTTACATTGATGGCGCACCTTTGTTACCCTACGCTGCTGCGTAATATTCTGGTGAATTTCTTTATTATATTCGCGTGGACATATGGTATTAAGCATATTTAATTATCAAAGAGAACTCTTTTTGTCGTTGTAAAAAAAAATTGCTAATGTCAGGTCGGTGCATGTTTATCGCAATCGCTTGGACGTATCGCCAGAGGGTAAACATAATCTTCGCTTCTGCCAGTAAATCGCGTTATCAAGTGAGAAAAAAAATACAAATCCGCGGAGGTATCGCTATCTTCGCGAGGGGAATATTTTATAAATATTTCATGAATATTTCCATTGGTGGATATTTCAAATTAACGTCGATTTATATTTTATCTTCCTCTTCTCTATTCTCATCTTCCTGTAGTATTGTTGCGTCCGATCTCATCCCCTCTTCCCTGTTGACAATTTCTTTAATTCCGTTCAGTTCTGTAGACCGCGAAGACGACGTTTCTATGTGATGAGAAAACAAACAGACGAAATAAGTGGATAATTATTCAAGTCCGTACTGCATGAGGAATTCGAGATGTTACGTTGCTTTTGAATGGTACACAGGTGGATCAGTTGTTGATTCTTTTGTCGATTTGCTATTAGGAAGATTATAGTTCACGAAATCGTTGGGACGTGTAGCTGAGACTTTTGTCTTTAAGTCCTAGAGCCCTCGAATTTAGAAGCTTCGAATCTTCGAATTTTTCAATTTTTGAGTTTTCATAATTTAGAGCCTGTATTTTCGTTCCATGTGTAGACAAAAATCGTCAACGTGGATTTCTTTTGCCTTACATCTTCTTTATCTGTTCTTAAACCGCTATGAAATAGTAAACAGAAAGCAGTGCAATTGTCTTCTTACGTCGCCATACACAAGTCTTCCTCGAAAGGAAAATCCCCATGAATCTCTCCTTCGAGAGCAGCTTGCACGCGAAACCTTGCGGCTCGTCCACGAATGAGTTATGTAAATTTCATAATATTAATGGATGAGATGCAAAACCCTGACAGAGCAACAGGGCGCCGGTGTTAGTGTAATCCCGTGAGAGACGGCTGCGCGAAATTGTTATCGTTCAAAGCAGGTGCACAAATGTGATTCCACGCGTTCTCTGGATCAACCCACAGAACGCTAATATCACGCGTGATGAACTATTATCCATTTCTTTTAGTAACAATTTGCAAATCCCTTACACCTAATCCCTAATAAATCTTCTCTCTACCGTTTTCAACTCGAGGAAACTTTTCTCTACAGAAACGTGCTATAACCACGTAAACGCGTGAACTCTCGTTACGCGACATAGAGAACGCTCTCTATAATTTTTCTGATTTCGAAAAGAGTGTATTTTCTGTGAAAAATTTCTCTCCTTTTCGATAAACGCGCAAATCCTCCACTTAAAGCTGGAAAGGTGATCCTCGTTCCTAACTTCGGTGAACCCAGAAAAGGATTTTCTCCGCGTAAAGAAAAATCGCGAAATTTTTTCCACTGCTCCTCCAAAGTAAGAATACTTCACGTGTAACGTCCCTCGTCGACTCCGTTTTAAAGCGGTTCTCTCCAGAAAAAGCTGGAAGTTTCTCTCCCACACCTTCTCCAAATGTGGAAAAGAGAAGCGCATATTTCCTCGGGTATTTAATCCGTTTTCATTTGCTCTATCGACGACGTTGGCAAAGTAGATGGTTGCGTAATCTTTTGTTGACTCTTGTGGAAAGAAAGGTCAAGGCGTCACGGTGAGACGAACGCAGTTAGCGAGCGGCTTTAATATCTGAGATCCGATAAAGAAGGACGAATTCCTCTTCGTATACACGCGTACATGTATATTTATGGTTGTGTGTATCTTCCCTCGGTTAACACGAAGACTCTGAAACATTGCAAAACAACAATTACAACATATCACACTTGTGAATGCGTAGAGATGTGTGTCTTAGATGTGTTAGAACCTAGTACTTAGGCTTAGAGGCGGATGGATCCTGTAACCCCATAGCTGTCTGTGACCACCAGTGCTGTCTCTTCTCTCGATATGTAATCACACTTGAAATCAGAATCTCGAGGGTCGCTGAGTACATCGTTGAGACTAATCGTGAGATTAATCGCAAACTGCATTTGCGGCGAGGTCTTTGTTCCTGTGACCTCATCTCTTTCATAAGCGCGACGGAGCACCTGCAAACGAATGCTAATACAACACGCCAGATTCTCTATTTACTTAGCATCGGTATTAAGTCACTGTTACGAATGTCGAGTACCTTGAGATGCTGCGATGAAATAATCCGTAAATCGCGATATCCAGTCCTTCGCTCTTCGTGCATATCTTCTAGCCAAATCAATATCGGAATAATTTTCTGAAAATTTTGTATAATAGAAATACATACGATACCTCTCTAATTTAAAAAGAACAGAAATTCGATATCACCATTAGTGGGTTGATATCAGAAGCTTATGAACGTTGAGAAGGAATGAGAAACTTTCGTAATTCCATCCGTATCTATTACCTCCATGTTTGATGCCGTGAAATGGTTCTCGCAAAATGACCTTGGTCTCGTCTGAAAAGAATTTGAAAATTTTTTAAGTATTCTGCTCCATTGGTATGATTAGTCTCGCACCTCTAGATTCTACCTTTGTGAACAAGGTTCCAAAGCGATGAACTCAGCGATCGATCTCTACCCATCGTAGATCCTTTATTCCATGAGATTTCCTGTAACAAACGAAAATCTTTTAGATGGCTAAAATTCGAATTCGACTTTCACAGGTACTGTCTATGAGCGAGGAGCTCAGGCGAGCTCTGTACACGAACAGCGCCGTCTCCATAGATAACGATGTCATCGTTCCTGACCTGGTGGGCACCACCGAGATCCTTAGCGACGAGCATAGAGAGCAACTGTGCCGACATCTGCCCGCCAGGGCGGAAGGATACCTTTGGACCGTTGTCTTCAGCACCAGTCAGCATGGATTTAGCTTAAACAGCATGTACAGGAAGATGGCCAAGATAGAGAGTCCTATCCTGTTGGTGATCGAAGACACAGAGGGCAATGTGAGTTCTGAAATTATAATTTGTTAGTCTCTGTACTATTATTCAGCGTATGATTGAAGAATATAATAAATATATTAATATAATACTAACCCTTTGCACCCCATTGGCAGTTAGACCACTGTATAAATAAATTTAGGAGTATTTATAATTTTATTTTTCACCTTTGCCTTCGAAATGACCATTTCGACAAATGACACGACACCTAGAAAATCATGCATGCAGTTGTCTCATGCGTAATTGAGCAAACTATAATAGACAAAGTGAATCATCCATTGCACGTGGTTACAGGTGTTTGGTGCGTTGACCTCGTGCTCTCTGCACGTGAGCGACCACTTCTACGGAACCGGCGAGTCCCTTCTCTTCAAGTTCACACCCAGGTTCCAGGCCTTCCACTGGACCGGTGACAACCTCTACTTCATCAAGGGCAATAACGAGAGCCTTGCCATCGGTGCCGGAGAGTAAGTTGAACTTCTTTAAACTCCGACAGGTTTTCCTTGCCTCTGTTTGATGGGAGCTTTAATTCCTCACGAGATGCGATGTATTCGTTAACAGAGCTCCTTAGCTAGGGATTATACAAACACGAGGTTATACTTATGCTAATGATAGATTAATTTGTTATGAAAACTACAGTTTGTAAGATTGCATGTGGGGAGTGTTATCAGCAGGCAATTTAACAACACCAGTCCACGTAATGCAAAGTATCTTAGAACAGCATAATTCATAGAAGTATCATTACTTGTCAAAACATTCTCCGTACGACGTTATTCACCCTTAGGTAATGTTAAGTCTCGCAAAACTAACAAGTATTGGTCTTTTTGCAGTGGCAAATTTGGATTGTGGTTAGACGGAGACCTGTACCAGGGCAGGACACAGTCCTGCAGCACATACGGAAACGAGCCGCTGGCCCCACGAGAAGATTTCGTGGTAAAAACATTGGAATGCTGGGCATTCATATAGGACACAGCCTCATACTCCTTGTCCGTGACTTCGCCCTCGCCGCAGCCTAATTTGACCTGAATCCCAAGAGAGTCTTGCGTGGAGGTTGATCGTCCCCGGAGAAGAAGTATCAGACTATATGGAGGACAATTACCAAGATTTCCAAGAGACATTTTACCAGAGGAGATTAAAATCGATTAACGGGATTACCGGTTAGCTCGATTACCGTCGATAGATTTTTAAACAGAGAGACCCCAGACGTATTTTGTTAAAAGTCAATAGAAGATTGTCGAGTGAATGAGAGCGAGAGAGAGAGAAAGGGAGAGAGAGAGAGAGAGAGAGAGAGAATGAAGGAATTGTGATTTTTATTAGAAGGCAAGTAGAAATGTTGAGGAAAAAGAAGACGAGATAGAGAAAAATGATGATGAAAGGATGCGAAGAAGAAACTGCAAAAAGGCCCTAAAGCACGAGGCCAGAAACGTTGAGTTAGAGGACTACGAATGAGTATAACTGATCGATTTGTCATTTAATCGTCCTACATTTGTTTTTCTTTTCATTTTAAGTTGTCGTATTTATTTTTATTCTTTTTTTTTATATATATATATACATATATACATATACACGCCTATACGTGTTTCGTCGAATAAGTCGTCGTTATTTTCGTTAATAATTCTAATTTCACGCTATGGCGTGCCGTTTAAAAATAGGATCGGAGGATCGACCACGATGACAAAGAATTTGTTACATATGATGATAATGAGATAAAAATGATTATTATATACTATTTTGCTTATGCTTATGATTGTGATTATGATTATGATTATGATTATAATTATGATTATAATCGTGGTGTTGCCTTCGAACTAGTCGCGAGTATAATATTAATATTAATTGATAATAGTAATAATGCGTTTCGAGAGATTATGCGATCATCAATGTCACGGTATTCGATGATAACGAATAAAAGAAGAGAGAATGAGATGAAAGTATGAATGGTACTCGAGATTGAGAGAGAAAATAAATACGTCTCCACGATGGAGAGAATCGATAATGTAAAAAAGAAAACCACGAATCGAATGATAATGATGACATGATGATCATGTTAATGATGATAATACAATATCACGATACAAACACGACACTACGAAAATGCTAAACTAACCGTATTTGTTGATGTGTAGTTATTGTAGATAGATGAATGTAAATATATATATTATGAAATTGTTTAAGGTAAAAAAAATTAATTTTAAAGAAGGAAAAAATACAATATATGATACCACGTTAAAGAAGAGAAACACACACGTTGCAGAAGACACTCTGTGTAGTTTGTCTCACGTATATCCTGAAGGACACACACTGATTATATATATACAGGAAAAACACACACAAAATCTGTGTATACATATGATTCAAAAACAATCAAGCAACATACACCGATCGAATTGATACGATGATACTCTGGGTGTAAAACGATCCTAGGATCTGAGAGTAGCTTTTAGAAGAGAAGATAAGCAGTTCGTACTGATCTTACGCTAATACACACGACGAATAAAGATACAGTGATAACGATCGTAAAAGAGATTAAATGCATGGTATTATTGACACGAAGAAAGGCGAACAGAAATTGTAGTAACATGCGAATAGAAGATCAGAGCAGCGCGTTCGCTTTTTGTGTCTCAAGTGACCACAACGAACACACACGCCTGTGCCTCGCTTCGCTCTCTTTCTCTCCCTCTGCTATACTAGCACACACAATTACATCATACACAATATTTCAGTTTTACTCTACTAAGTGTGATCAGAGCCGATGGAAAGAAAGCGTGTTACGGTGACGCTCTTGTGTTTTTCTTCACGAGAGTTTCACGCAAACTGAGACAATAAAAAAGAGTTTCGCCCTAGTATCGTCGATTTTTTCATTTTTTCTTTTTGTTACACATCCTAATAACACTGTTTATAACTTCCTTGTTCAATGAATAAACCAAAACATATCGTTCACAGTATTTCCATTAAGGTACACTGTATTAAAAAAATGGTAGTTTATGATTCATTCAAGGAACAAGGAGAATTTTGCGAAATATTATATTGTAAAGTTTTCTATACCGCGTTTAGCGTTTCGCTCGGCTCTGAAGATCAGTGAGTGAATCGATGTCAATCGTGAAACATACACAGACACAAACATGACCAGAAAAAACTGTCCGAGCTTATAGTCTCTTACTGTGTGGATTAATTAGGATCAATAGACTGTCGCGAGAGAACCCACCGTTTCTACCGCTTTTTCAACATGAATTTTTATTTATCGTTGAACAATCGAAAGGAGAGTGGAAAAGAATAGTAGATTTAAGCGTTGCTTAGTAGTAAAACGAAATACGCTGCATTAAGATCAAATATAGGTTGTGATAATCGAATGTGCAAAATGATTTGTTTCCGAATCAGGCTAAGAATGTGGGAAAAACGACGACTGAAAGCGGGTTCAGGTTTATTACTGTACTACACAAAAGATTTTTTAGCAGTTTCACAACGAGACGTAATATTGGCAGAAAAAAAAAAAAAGAACAAAAGATTAAGATGCCATTTTGTACTGTAGTGAGACACTGGTTATCATTCCTTCCATTTTATTAGGAACAATTCCCAACTCTTGTGATGTTCCTACGATTTTCGATCTTCCGTGAAGAGCTGCTTTTTTTAAAACTTATTTAATGTTATAATAATGAAACAATTGCATTAAAATTGATTCTGTAAATTTGTTTTAAGTAATTTTATACGATTTGGGATAGAAAACTTAAAAAAAGCAGCACGATGCGATATTATAATCGCCATATATATAGGGTTCGAAGAACTGCAAAAACGAATGAAAATGAGAGAGGAACGAAAATCGTAAAACAGAACGAATGTATCTCCGTGCACTGGTTATAAAACGCACTATATCAAAAAGTAACAAATAAAACGAGAACGAACGATCGTCGTTTATAATAGAGCAAGTCTCATGAAGCACGGTTTCAGGCAGAGTAAGCACGGAAAAAAAACGAAAAAAATGCAGCTATGAAAAGCACAAATGTGTATTCAAATTGCATAGCTATACCTATCAGCTTTGTTAGGGGTAGTTTCAAGTACATTGTACACGATCATAGCGTTGTCTAGGACATAAAGTTTTAGTGTCTATAGGCGTACTCTTGTGATACTAACGAGTTAAAGGAGAACAAAAGAAAAACGGTAAAACAAAGTCGCTTCGAGTGTGTTACTCGGGACAACTATTTCTTTCGTGGCAGGGAAAGATCATTCGAATTGAAAACGTACAATTTTTGATGGAATTTTAACAATAATGTATGATATATATATATATACATATATATCAAACAGGACAATACAACTATGTAGAACACTAGAGCAAAGGTGAAGAGAGAAAGAAAAAGGGGATGAGAAGCGAAGTGTTTTCAACCGTGGCAAATTTTCTCTTTCTTTTCTGTTCGAAAAGGACTCACAACCCTCGCCTTTAAATGCCGAAAATCATGGTATAAATGTAATATTGTAACGTGAAATAAAAGAAGATGATGTGTGTTTGAGAAAAAATATCTTTTTTTTGTTTTCGTTCACTTTGTTCCTTGTGTTTCTTTTATTATTGGCAATTGAAATGAATTCTTGTAAGAGCAATATAAAGAAGAATCATTTATGTTAATTCTATATTTCTTTCCTTATTATAATTTTATCTTCTTGCTTAAAGTTGTTATGTAAGATATAATCTGATTCGCTTCTAGCTCCTTTTAATTGCATTTCTTCAGACAAATTTTGCAATGTTTATTCTAGAATTTTACTATCAGAAAGTCTGCAAAGTCATGAAAAAGTCATCTATTCAATTCAATTGTTTCATACTTTATTTCTTAATTCATCGTTCCTTTAAATAACTTGAACAATCTGTTATACTATCTAAATTTCTCAATTTGTTTCGACCGAACGTTTGTCATTGAGAATGAAAAGTGAACTGCCCGGGAGAATTCTTGTTTTTCTGCCGAAACAAACTTTACTGAACTTCAAAAAGGTTCTCTGCACACTGTAGGTGTCCTCATCTAATCCAAAATATATGCTACTGCCTCCACCGAAGAAACTAGATTAAGTGTGCCATATTTGATCACGACATCCTAACCTTTAAACGATGATACTCTTTTTCTTGTACCAACGGTTGCAATATATCTGCATGCGAGCTCAAAGGTATCCTTATGATCTTCGATGCTTCTATTTAAGAATATGTTAAAGAAAAATAAATTAATATTTTTTACGAGAAAGTACAAGAATGTAATTAACCAAAATCGATGACAACTGAAGCACAGTGTACACTTTTATGTTTGAAACTGCTATTCAAATGTTGTTAATCTTTCTGTCAAATAATCAAGATTCTTCTTTTTAACTAATCAAAAATTTTAGTTATTCCCTTTATAATAGTTTAAATAAGTTTATTTACTTAATTTGCTATAATACTATTAGAAGGTTAAAAACAAAATTATACATTAAAATAATGAAAATCTTTGTCAATAGTATATAACGATGAATTGTAACAATATAATAAGGGTTTGAATCATCGAAGATTTCCCGCCAAAAAATCGATTGTACTTTGATAATTCGAGAACGATTTTGCGATACAACTTCATCCATCTTAAACATGTTGCATTCGAAATCCAAATAACTCGCTGTATTAACAATCCAATAATAAGCGAACTAGCTTTTTGCATTGTGTACGAGATACATATGTAGCGGAAGTAGAGAGAGAAAGAGCAAGAATCTTTACTGTAACTAGAGTAAAGGAGAAAAAAAAGAAGAAATAGGAGTTCACACGAAAAACTGTAATGTAATAATACAAAAGTATATGTATAATCGTAGTTAATTAGTGGACGTTTAGCATAATAACAAAAGTGAAACAACAATATACAAAACAAATGAACGACAAACGATGCAAAGTAAGACGATGAAAAAAAAAGGTAATAAGTTTTGTTAGAAACGAAGAGAACTTTTCTGGTATACACATTGTCAATTAGATTCAGACTGACCGCAGGGATTGAACACGCAATTAACAAAACTAAAAAAATAAAAAAAAATTGTAAAATAACAATTCGATGTTCTTCGATGTTTAGCTAGATATTGTTGTCATTGTTGATGATCGTTGCCAAGGTACGATCCTGCGCCTCCAAGATGGCGTAGCGTGAAGAAGCAACTCTTTTAAAGAGTTTTACAAAAAAAAATGAAAAGAAGGAACAAAATGGGAAAAATCGAAGGTATCGAATATCACTTTAGTATTATAAATTGAGAATCGTATGGACTACTTATAAAAATAATCGATGCTTCACGCTATGTCCTTGAAACGTAGTCTGTTTTACACGTAGACAGCAACCAGAGAGGAAAATTCATAGACTAGTAGAGAAACACAACTGTTCTTATCTTGCGTATCTTAATATATTCATTTTCAAACAGTTTCCTTCTCGTAATTGGTTATCAAAAGCTTGAAATGCTGCATAATTTATAATAAAATAAAAGGTGGAATAATTCCTCGGTTAGAAATAGATTGGAATCGCGGATTATTTGATTTCTAATAAATATTCGAAATCCATGCATTTGTAGATTGAATATGTGTATGCGTGTATACACACATACCCAAGAAAGACACGTATAATACCTTCAAGATAAGTTCTGTTCCTTAACAGCGATAACATTATATTTCACATAAAAATACGTGGAAAATGACTACTATTTGCCAACGATATTATTAAAATGTTGAAAACACTTGAAGCGTTTTAACGTAAGTGTCTTAACAAGTATAAGACGTTTTCCAAATAGCTTTCAAACGAGGAATTGACCACAACTTAATACCATTATAAATTATACTGCATTCTATCGTTACAATTGTTTTTCAATCTTATGATTCCATGATTAATTTTTCTTTTAAACCACTTGAAAGTATTGTTAATGCAATATCAAACAAATTTCATTCCATATCATATGCTGTAATGTATCTAATATAATTTCTTTAATACTTAATATTTTATATGAACCTCTTAGGACCCTAATTAATTCTTTTTGTAAATTTCTTATCTTTATTATGTAGACCCTCTTGGGGTTACATTTGGTCTGATATTGTTGGTATAATTTTACAAGTCACAGATTACCATCAGTAATTACAGGTGTAAAATAAAAATTAATTAAATATTAACGAAATTTAATTCAATTTAATTCAATTCATCTACTGGCGTCTAAGAGGCTCATACGTCATATATCTATGTATAATTTGAAACCTATTTTAGATTTTGAATTTATTTATCTCTCGCCATGTTCTAGGTAAAGATCGGTTAAGAATAATCGCAAGAGCCCAATGAACAAACCACACTCAACAGTAATTCTATCGCGTGTCTCACTTACAAACACGATATACGTATAAGACTCGAATTTCCCTGTGCAGACTGCACAAATGATATTCTAAAAACATTTTTACATTGTCGCGCTTCGTCTCCGATCGAAGAGCGGACGGTCGAAGGTTTATCGCGATTTTAATTATCGAATCGCTTATGTCTATAAAATAACTTTTAGTCGACCAATCGAGGAAAAAAGGATAAGAAGGAAACATTTTCATACGAAACATCGATCGATGTTATCTAATCACCGAATTTTTACATCGATAGGCCCAAAATAACGAACTATCAATCATGTTAGACTAACGAAATTGTTTCATCGAGTTCGATTATCAAAGGAAGAAAGAAAAGATCAAAGAAAAAGGAAAAAAAAATGATAAATATCATCCAATTCGTTTGCCCTTGATAATCGAAAATTTTCGAGGAGCACGAAAGGCAATATCATAATAGAAAAAAGAATATCCTTTCCTAATTGAAAAGGTACCGAGGAATTTACCAACTTCGAACCCTTGATCGAGGAAAGAACGATCAAAGGTGAAGAAATCGCGAAATCGAATAAAGGATCCGAACGATAGGGGAGACAAAGGCCCTCTCGAAACACACACAACTCTCTGGACCAATGAATTTTACACTAACTTACTAATGTACTATCGCCTAAATCGCCACTTTATCGCGAAAGTAAGTTTCTCCCCGCGTCTGGATCCCGAACGAGACTCCATTCGACAAAAATTCGAACAATCATTTCTCACGAAATTCTCATGAACAAAAGAAAAAAAAAAAAAAAGCGCTGAAAGCCCACAAACAAACACACTCTGTGTCTATCGTAATTGTATATTAGCCAACTGTATACCGCGTATGCGAAATTAATATCGTCGAAGAAAGCAATGGGTCAAAGGTGGAGAAGGCACATCTGCGTATATTTAATTAAACTCGAATAGCTCAAACCTAATAATTTGTAATTTGCAACAATTTGATGGAATACTAACGACAACCTTATAAAATTTACTAAAAGTATCATCAATGTTTGCTTACTATCCGAGAAGTTTTTACTTAAAAAGACTTATCGTCTTTGGAAATGTTTCCTTATATAACAGATAACCGTTATCATAAAAATAATAATTATTGTAAAACGTAGTTGTGATATTTCTAGAACGAACACATTTCGAATACACAATACAATATATACAATGTTTTTTAAGATAATCGCAGATGTGTTCTCTTTGTTCAAGAAACCACGTATAAAAACAAACTGGTGAAGAAAGTGCGTGTGTATGCCAGTATATAACGTATCTATATATATATATATATATATAAATATATACAGTGTATAAGCAGGATGTGTGTATGTGTGTATATACTACTACATATGTGTACTTTGCGTATACATAATAACACATAAAGTAAAAGTTTAGCGTCGCTACATGTATAATCAGCAACAGAAAAACCTGTAGCGCGAACGAGGCAACTATACATATATATGTATATATATATATGTACATATATACATATACATATATATATATATATATATATATGTACATATATACATATACATATATATATATATATACATACATACAAGTAACGATTAATTGTAACATTGTAAAGCTGTGAGTAAAGAAACAAAAAATACACAAAAAACAAAAAAATTACGACTGTAATGATGGCTCCAGAGTTACTAAATCGAAGTAGGATATACCGGAAAGATAAAGAGGGATTTATTTTTTTGCCAAAAGAATTCACCCCCGGTATGTGGTATGGTATGGATTAAGAAAACACATACAATAAGAAGAGTATTTTGCGAATTGAACAGAGAGCGATGCAAGTACTCTGTTGCATGTTTTATGCGTTATGTATGTAATATCGACGTCAAATAGTCAATCTTGTTCCGTTTGCAAAGAAGCCACGGATCACCTTGGAATGCGTGTGCGCGTTCGTACGCTTCGTAAATTGTGATATGTGTGCCGCACACACGCATATACATATGTATACAAAGATGAATATACAAGAGATATTCAATAAAACGCCACAAATATTGCGAAGAAAAGTTCGTATTTTCCTTTCACTAATACATATATTTATATTTGTCGTCTCGTGACAATCATTGTTTCATTGTACATTACCTAATTTTTGAAAAATATTATTCGACGCAAAACATAAAATACATCAGGTATTAAAGAGTTTTAAAGATAAAGTAACTTTGAAATGCCCTTAAAATGTCGTCGAAGTGAAAATGTGTCTTTTAAAATAAGCTTGAAATAATTATCAAGTTATATTTAAATAATTCTATGATAACCTTAAAAATTACGTTTGATGATGAAGTAATTGGTTTTCAAGTGAACTTATAATTAATCTAATTATACGTCATATCTTCTTATTACAAATGACTGTAATAAGATTCGTGTTGCACCATGTCTTTGTTTACGTCATTAACGCTCGCACAGCCTGCAAATTGATTTTAAATTATGTATAAAATCATTTATAATAGAATTGAAATTTCATGTGGGTGTTTACCATCCTACCTGTCAATGCAAATGCGACATCAATTTCCTTCCTAAAAACTTCAAGAACTTCTCTCGCACCGCGTTCACCGCCATAAGCTAGACCCCACAACATGGGTCGAGCAACAAATACCTACAAAACATATAAAAATATGAATTAAAAAATCATGCAATTTATTTATGCATATGATATATGCTTACCATTTTCGCGCCCAAAGCAAGTGCTTTAAGAACATCGATCCCTTGCCTCACACCTCCATCCATATAGACTTCTATTCTACCGTTTACGGCTTTCGTTATTTCTGACAACGCTTCGATCTATAAATCATATATCGTTTACATTGTTGTTCGGTCTAATTATTTCACTTCATAATTTGCGATTTAATTAATGCAGAAATCGATTAAAACCAAGTTATTTTAAAGTCAAATTCCGAAATAGTAAAAAAAAAAAAAAAAAAAAAAAAAATAAAATTTACAAAATGGTATAACAGACCGTTGCTGGAATACTGTCAACTTGTCGGGCCCCATGATTGGAGACAATGATGGCTGCAACTCCATTTTCGATAGCTAACAGTGCATCTTGTGGGGTAAGAATTCCCTTCAAAACTATTGGCAACTTTGTAATACTGCAAAAAATAAGTAAATAAATAGATTTTCTTATGTTCATAACTCCAAACCAAAAAAACCTTTTACCAACCTTTTGAGCCATTTGATATCATCCCATGTTAAGGAAGCATCGAACAGATTCATAACATATTCGCTCAAACCAGAACCCGACTCGGCACTGTTTATTTTACTTGATAATTCTCCCTGAAAATTCCCTAATCTAAAAGCATTATTTAATATTTTGTTCATATTTTTATACAGATCATAAAAGACATTAAAATATTGTATATGTACAATATGTAACAATGTACCTTAAATGGTTTGGAAGAGAAAATTTATTCCTAATGTCAGCTCGTCTATCACCAAAGAGCGGTGCATCGACGGTAAGCACGAGAGCTTTAAACCCAGCGCGCTCTGCTCGTGAAACTAAATTTATGGTAACTTTACGGTCATTGTATATATATAACTGGAACCACTTTATTGCTTTCGGCGCAGCTTCGGCTACTTCCTCAATGCTACTTGTTGATATCGTTGAAAGTATGTAGATAGTACCAGCTCCTTGAGCAGCTGAAAATTAGGATTTTCATTCAGTTTTATCCCCCGGAACTACACATTTATAAAATTGATACATTTTCTAATGATTTATAATGTTTCCAAAAGTTTCGTTCATTCAAATTATTTGATAAAAACACGAATGTTTTTGGAAACATTGGACACTTTATAATATAAATATCGTTTGAAATTTATACAATAATATATGTTCTTTTGAAAGAAATGCAGTGAAATATCATTAAAAAAATAAATAGCAACTAGAAATGGTATTGAAAAAGAGAAATGATGTTGAAGTTACCGAAGTGCAGTTTACTGAGAGATGCATTTTTAACATATCGAATGCATCCAGTCATCGAGAACTGCTTCGATCTCGGGGGATCGATCCTCAGTCGACGCGTGGCAACCGCGTCTGTTCCATGTATTTTATCGTGATAATTTATCGAAATTTCGTATTGAAGATAACAGCTGATAAGCTACAGTAATCATATACACATGAGGTTAGTTTCGTGTAAATAGTTTGCTAAGCCGGTGGCTGGTAGCGGGTTTTCGCAAGTGTCATCGCGCGACATGAGTGCATCACGATGATGAGAAGAAATGTTGTGAGCCTGATAAAGTTCTTCCTCCTGGCGGTTTTTACGGTTTTCCTGACCGTCGTTGTATTCCGTTATGTACGAACCTCACCTAACCATGAAATCGTGACACCAGTTGCCGCATTGGTAGCCATCAATGGCGACAGTTCAAAAAATTTGATCGATTCCAGACAGAATTTCAACGACCATCTTTATCAGGTATGGGTTAAAGACCTACTCATTATTGGCAAGGTTGGCGCAAGTGAAACAGGTTTAGCGATAGCTTAACCTTCTGCATTCCATGCAGTATCGTATGATTACTTTTATGAACCCTGATGCAGATGATGTTATTTAATATTCGCACCGAATTTATACCTTTTTACTGTAAAAAATTGAAATAATAACACAGAGTAATGTTTAAATAACATTTTTCACAGGATTTGGACGAAAAAATAGATTGGCATGATTATAAGAAAATTGAAGAAGAAGCAAAAAGAATTGGAATAGGTGAACATGGACGGCCTGCATTTCTTTCACCATCTCTAGATGCATTGAAGGAAAAGTTATACCAGGTAAATGGTTTCAATGCTGCACTCAGTGATGAAATCTCAATGAATCGCTCAGTACCTGATATTAGACATTCAGGCTGTAAGAAGAAGAAATACTTAAGAAATCTTGATGCAGTTTCTGTAATAGTCTCCTTCCATAATGAGCACTTTAGCACTTTAATGCGAACTTGTTGGAGTGTTATTAATCGTTCACCACCATCTCTTCTTAAGGAAATAATATTGGTTGACGATGCAAGCAGCAAAGTAGAATTGAAGAAATCTTTAGACGATTATGTTGCTGAACATTTGCCAAAAGTAAAAATTGTAAGACTACCACAGCGTTCTGGTTTAATTAAGGGTCGATTAGCTGGAGCAAAAATTGCAAAAGCAAAAATACTTGTATTCTTAGATTCTCACAGTGAAGCAAATGTCAACTGGTTGCCACCGCTATTAGAACCAATTGCACAAGATTATAAAACTTGTGTGTGTCCTTTCATTGATGTGATAGCTTATGAAACATTTGAATATAGAGCTCAGGATGAAGGTGCCAGAGGAGCTTTTGATTGGGAATTATATTATAAACGATTGCCATTGTTACCTGAAGATTTGCAAAACCCTACAGAGCCATTTAAAAGTCCAGTAATGGCAGGTGGTTTATTTGCCATCAGTGCTAAATTCTTTTGGGAATTAGGTGGATATGATCCAGAACTAGATATATGGGGAGGTGAACAGTATGAACTGTCTTTTAAAATTTGGCAATGTGGAGGTCAAATGTATGATGCACCTTGTTCAAGAGTAGGTCATATTTACCGTAAATTTCCACCTTTTGCCAATCCAGGTAAAGGAGACTTTTTGGGAAAGAACTATAAGAGAGTAGCAGAAGTGTGGATGGATGAATATGCAGAATATATCTATAAAAGACGTTCACATTTGAGATCATTAGATCCTGGAAACTTAAAAGCACAAAAGGATCTAAGAGCTAAATTACATTGTAAGCCATTCAAATGGTTCATGGAAAACATAGCTTTTGATCTTGTCGACGTGTATCCTCCTATTGAACCTGATGACTTTGCATCTGGAGAAATTCGTAATATGGGAGTGCCAGAATTGTGCCTAGACTCAAAGAAACGGAAAAAGGACGAACTTGTTGTAGTTGATATTTGCATAAAGGATAATTCAAAAATTGTAGGAGAACAAGAATTTAAATTAACTTGGCACAAAGACATTAGACCCAAGGATCGTACAGAATGTTTGGACGTCTCTAGAGGCGGTTTAAAGCCTCCAGTTAGTTTGTATCCTTGTCATGGAGGCCAGGGAAATCAACTGTGGCGTTACAACGTTGAAAAACAATGGCTAATGCACGGTTATTCATCAAGATGTCTGGACACGGATCCAGCAAGTAAGAAAGTCTTTGTAACCAATTGTGATTCGTCTTCTCCTACGCAAAAATGGAGAATTGAGAAAGTAAATATGAAAGCTATCAACAACTGGGATAATGTGGGACCCAAACGACCTTAATTCCTCTGCCTTTTATTGCCGTAACTATTTTAGTTTCTAAGCGTCTAACGTTTAGTTACATATGTGTACATAACGTTCCCTTTTTATTAACTAGTCATATAAAATTGTAATTGAGTTCGATACTTTTGTCCATAAAAATGCGTATTCTGGGATTGTGCAAAGAAAAAAGCATATTTTAAGATTATGAGATTATTTCCCTTTCTTTTTTAACAAATTTTTACAGTATTCCCATCGTAACATTTTTTAACGCATTTATATCGATGTAAATATTGTACGAACTCTCTGTTGTGCCTTAAACGTATAGCTGCATTTAGAACTGATATATATTATAATTATAATGATTACTTTACAAAGTAACTTCGCATCAAAGCTCAATTTTTACCTATTACAAATTGTTTTGTATTAATATAGTATATATTTAAAGATTATATACGAACTGATTGATACACAAAATTTCTTTATTGCCAAACTTTTCAAATGATTGATTAATTTTTTCTTGATTGGAATAAAACGATGTACTTTTATAATATAAAATCGAACGGGAAACAAATAAGCTGTTTTTTGTATAATTATTAAATAAAAAAATTTTCCGTACAAGAGTTCTATTTACAATCAAAACATTACTAAGCAATAAGAAGTAACTCTTTAAACATGTGAGAATGTCTGTGAACATATCATGAATTATTAAGCATTTAACTTTTTATACAGTCTAATGCGATTTTTTATGTATATTTGTACCTACATAATAAACACTGATAATTTAGTTTCTGTACAGACTCGAATAAATGAAAACAAAAAATAATAATCTATTTTATAGAAGAGCATGTACTTGTTTATTCAAATTCATTGTGCTCTACGTCTTCACGTTGTAACATTTTACGAACAAGGAAAGTTCGACTGTGATCATCGCCGATTAATCGAAACAAGCACGTGATTGTGATTGCAACTATTTTTGTAAAATATTTGCATAAGTTAATAAACATTTTTACTGAATTTATATATAGCGATATAGTGAATACGTTTGATGTTTAGGAACCAAATATACATATACATGTAAAACATTAAATATTATTTAAAAAAAAAAAAGATAGGTACATAAAGAAGCATGTTAAAAATAATAGACTTACCTCTAGCATTTGCACATTCGCCTTCCGGATGCGCCATACGTTGCATAGCCGCTGGTGCAACTCCCAATGGCAGCGTGATCTTTTCACCTAAAATCGTGGTACTTAAGTCCCTTCGAGAAACATTCCGTAAAAATCTTGGCCTTATTCTGTATCTGTAAAACGATATAATTTTTTGTTAATAAAAAAAAATATTTTTAAGTCGCATTATTTTGAGAAAATTTTTTAACATTTCATTATAACACTGCAATCAATTTCATCAGGTTTTAAATAAGAACAAATTTTTAACTTTATAAAAAGTGTATAAATTACACTCTTGAACGATATCGATATTCATAAAAGCATGATGAAAGTTTCAAGCACTTTGCAATTAATTCACCCGTAAAATTTGAGTCACTCGATCTAATCGCATTTAAATTGCTTTTATCGTCGTGCTTCTTTTTAAATACCTACTTCTTAAAAGCTTCTGTGTTTAGTTTCAAGCTAAATTGTTCGCCTGCTCCTGAATTGTAATAATCTCTCACGGAAGGTGTTAAATGTGTAGTAGCATATTTCTCGAAGTCTTCAATGCATATCATTCGCTGAGCCATGGTATCTATAAGAAAGCGAACACAAAGTTAATTTTATAAAGTCGATTTCACGTAATTTCGATTTAATACGATTCATTTTATAATCAATAAATTTTAATTTTATATAGAGTACCGTTTCAATATAGTGAATACTGATTTTCAATATATGTAAATAAATTATAATAGTTTACACTCACCCTAGTTGCACGGAGAAAGAAGAAGAATTTTGTTCAAAGAGTGATGTTGCGCACGCAGGATCGATCTTTACTCTCGAACGGCTACTCCGTGAATTAATCGATTTCCCAGCGAGGAAAACATACGATTAAATAGATTCGATGGTCTCGACCAGCTGGTCTTACAACTAGTGGCCGAAAGCAACGCGAAATCACGAAGATAACCCCCGGAGGCAATGTGTTCTCTAATATTGCTGATAAAATTGTTTGTTTTATTTAACTTCGTCGTATTGGCCCCATTTATCTTTGCAGATTTAATGAAAGACTCGTGTGTTTCTTTAGTACCGGAAGATGAACTGCTCTCTGTATTTTAAAATCGGCTGAGGTCTATAACGATAATTAATGGACCGCGATAAGTCTAATTAAGTATTATTCATTATCAGGTATAATATTCCGTACTTCGAACCATGATTTATGTTACAGTTGCTGAACTAATGTATGATCGTCCTTGCAAGTAATTATGCAAGATGTAGATTGTGTCGTATGAAGAAAGATCGTACATATATCACGAGGAATTACGAGGTTAATATTTTGTAAGAAATTTCGAAAAAAGAATGTATCGAAGAAGAAAATAGTTTGTTTATGTATGAACGAAATTTACGTAACATGGAATCGACCATAAATCGAGCTATCATTCAATCGTCTAATCAAATTTTATTCGTATCTCGTATGTTGTAATTTTCGATAGACTTTATATACGTTTCAGATCGTATCGTACCGAGATTAAAAGATATCTCTACGTACGAATTAATAGAGCAGGAAATAGTTACCTTATCGGTACTCTATTAATGGCCTATCAAAATTACTCATTGGCGAGGAATGAACTAATCAATAATTTGTAGAAATCGACGCTTATCATCGAATACCATGGTTATCGTAATTACACAATCTGAAACCTTGTATCCTGGCTGAAAGAAATTCAAAAATTCTGAGAAAAAAAGGTACGCTGTCGATAAAAGCACTTGTGCAACGATTACTAAAGAATTTTTCAATTAGGAATATCTTTCACGAATGCCGCGTACATCGACAAAAATGATCGTACACGTGATTATCGGTTTTTTCTGCAAGACATCTTCGGTTGAAAAAAAGAGATTGATAGTAGAAGTCGAACGAGCGAACTTCAAACTTCTTTAATTGCGACGAAACAAAGAGGAAGGATGTGGAAACGGAAAGTGGAAGGTAAAACTTGCGTTATTCCTCTTTTTAAACCGTACTTTATTACATTCTGTTAGAAATAATACACAAAAGATTCTCAGGGGCGGCGAAGCTTTTCACGCCGATTACGCACGAGGTGAATTTGTCGTTCAATCGAGAAATCGGGGCCCCGTGGATCGTGTGGCAAACCGTCGTCTGCGACCCACGATGGAAACTATCGATCGCGCCTGATTAAATCGAGAATATACAATCTTAATCGATATTTATATTACTGAAAGTCTGCGAGGGATCATAAATATATATAAGGGCACGTCGATTTTTCTCCGTCTGTCCCTTTCTTTCATCTGTTTTATTTTCTAAGGGTCGCAAACTCGGTTGGCTCAATTTGCGATTAATGTTCGAGTAAGTAAAATGCTTACGTAAATGCGCCTATTTGAAAAATGAATAATGTCAGAAAACGACGTGGCGCTTATCTTCGGTTTCTAGCCACTCTTTTAAAGCGTGTTACTTCTCGATTGTTTCTCTCACGCTCATTGCTATTTTTACTTCTCTTTTCTCTCCAATTCGTCCATCAATCGCCGAAGAACACTTACACTCAACAAATTAGGAATATCATTCTTCTCTTTATTTTCGCTCTCTTTTTCTCCCTTTTCCGGTATTACTTTCGTTTGAACGTCGATTTAGCGTTTGGTTACGGCGCGAGCGTTAGTTTTTCGTGTTTCTCTGTGTCATAAGTCGCATAGAATAGTCGTCTGTCGATTATTTGGATAACAAATTTTGTACGGTATTCTCGTAATAAGTTCCATTAGCGGATATTCTTTCCCTTCCCGATACATATCGAGGTGAAGAAATTTATTAATCTTGCCCCTTGTTGCTCGGACATCTCATAAAATTATCTGGAGGATTTTTCCCATATTCTGTTTAATGAATCTTTTGGGAAAAGACTCGAGGTTCGCCGGACCGTTATCGTTACGATTCGATGTTCGAACACGACGATCCTTCGTTAGATATTAAACATCGTATTTAATCTTTTCTTTGAAAAGACCCAACAATCGCACGTACGAGGAATTCGATTTTCATTGAAAGTTTGACGAAAGGAACAAAAAGTAGATTCAATAGCCGATTCCTCTACGAGAGGAAGAGTTCAGAGTCTGCAGGTTTTGGGCCTCCAGAATAACTTGGTAACTGAGGGAACGACGATCCAATAAGAATCCGCAATCGTTACACGCTCGGTACGGATGAAAACGAAAAGACTCGTGGTCGGCGAGGCACAATCTGTAGAAGCACCATAGATTGTAGGGTACATACACATTGTACGATGGCTTATCTGGGTTTGATATGAAAATGATAATTAAGAGTACGAGACAGAGAAACGATATCGATCGTTTATTTGCGTTTCTGTGTTTCAATTAGGAAAAATCACAGCTTAACAAAAGCCGGTATGCAGATGTAAGCAACAAGATATATCATTTCATCTCGTTATCTAGAGAATGAAGAAAGAAGTACGTATATCCCGTACGAAGAAACGAGGAACATCCCTGATTGTAATAGCATAGAGGAGTCGTCTTTAGAAAATACTGTCCCTTTGGGAGAAAGCTTGTTTAACGTTAGACCACGAGGCAATTGCTTCGAAGTAAGTAATAATTATTTATTATTTATTACCCTCTTCTCCGAGATAATTGGCTCATGGAACAAACTTCATTGTTACTTGTTCTCAACGCCCCGATAGAATTCTCAAACAGTTAGTTCTACTAGTTAATGCCTGCATGCTGCAGTTCTTTCAGATAAATACAGAAACAGATAACGAAAACGGCTTCAAGAAATGCGAGCAATGTTCTATATTCGTCCTGCGAATATCTCTGAGTTGTCCTGTATTCACAAGGGTGAGTCACAAGGAACGCAGTGTACCCGCTCACTGATCGATACCAATCGTGGTTCATTATGGAGTCTTTCGGCATTCATGGACGTCTCTCGGCTGTCGTTTCCGATACGACATCGGACGATATCCGACTTACGAGACACGATCAATTTTGTGCGGTTGCGATGACAATGTACGACCAGCGAAATTTTATCATCGACCATTGTAATAACCATCTTTCCTTTCCGTCTTGCTCTTGCTTTTTTCGTAAGACAATCGTAAGTGCGATGGGAGACATGTCAACTGTGGCTCGATCGAAAGGTTCAGTGGCTTAGTCCTAATATAGGACAGCGAAGATTAAATATTCTACTCGATATATCTGTGGTATCGTGTAATACTTCGTAACCTTAAAGATTAGAATTACTCTATGGCGCTGTTACTCGAACCGAGCGATCGTCTCGATTTCCGGTAGATGTTGCGTCTACGTAATTCGAGTTTACCTCGAAGAAACATCCACGGTTATTAGTCCCTTTTGTGTACAATTTGTTTCGTTATTTTTACGTGTTAAATATAATCGTGATTACTATTAGAAATCATTTCGCAGACACATCCGCACGAATCTCGTTGCAAAAATTATGTCCAAAATGAAATTGGGGAAACAGATCTTCGCGTACTTACGCGCAACCTAGCAGCATCGACTCGTGATATTTAGCATGAAAATTTCCCTTGTGAATAAAAAAAAAAATGTAAGTAAAAAAAAAAATTGAACAAAAGCGTGTATTTGACGGACAGTGCATATAGACACACTTCCTTCTACATTTGGTTTCGAACGAAATCAGCTTGAAACCGGCTGGCTCGATTATCAAAACTCTCAGACGTGTCTAGCGAAATTTCACGCTCCGTTTTTTCACACTTTATTATCTCTGATAAGCAGGCATTCATCGCACGAGTGACGAGGAGGGAAAAAAAACGTTTTTCAACGTCCAACGTTAAATCGAACCACGATTTCGAGCTTTACATAATCTTGTCTTATCTACCGACTAAATTTCCATACGATCTCAACCGTTTCGTCATTTAGATTTCGATGTCGAACGATTTATTCGCGCACACGGTGAACAGATCGCGCGAAAGAAGCCACAAGCTCCGTGGAAACGATACTTCCTATTTTTCTCTTCGAGCTTTCGTCGAATGGTTTCGTGAAAACTTTCTGTTTGCAATTTCTTCGTTTATTTCAGTCATTTCTTTAAACACGTGCTGAAACTGAGAACCGTAACAGGGTAATAATTTAATTATCTTTAATCCGCTTTATAATCTGTAAATCAGGCGAAGGCCGATCCATTTAAATTTACAAATTCGCGATTGACGAAAATCTTGGACAGTAAAAATATTCCTAAATACGTGACATTAAATTATCAGTGTTACTTGTTCAAAGAAACCGGTATATTTCCTTTTCTCTTGTAAAGATTTATAAATAAAAATGGACCGTCCTGTATATCGAGCTTTCTTAAGACATCAATGAACAATCCGATCCAAGATGTTCAGGAACAGAATTCAGTGACAAGAGAGAGAAATGTGAACTTATAAATTTTTGCTGTATCGAATAATGCGATTTACGCTTAAGGCGAAGAACTGGTTCGTGGCCGCGTTAACCCTTTGCAGTCCAATCTCTTTTCGCGTGTAAAAAGGTAGTTTGGAATAAATTAATCCTCGCAATGCCGCCAAATCGACCCGCTATAATTTCTTACATGCTTCCGTGGTACGAAATTTATATCGTTGACATATCTGAAATAAAAATTTACAGTCGTTATATTTCCTTTCTCTCTTTTCCTCTCTTGTTTATACACAACGTATCACGAAGATCAGCACCAAAAGGGTTAACGTAGATATGACTTTTCGTCGGATAAGAGAAACGCTTGAAACGGAAGTACGTATTTTTATAAATGGAACGCAAAGGGTTTAGCAATGAAATCAGTACGCGCGTAAATTGTAAATACATTGACCGCTTAACGAGGTAGTTTCATCATTGAATCATTTCGTTTCCGCATTTCTTTTCTCTTCTATTTTCTTTTCTCTTTTTTTTTTGTTTTGCTCTTGTTATAGTTTCCTTTATTTCGTTCGTTTGTTTTCCTTCATTCTCGAAATAGCCTCGGAATAAGTTGTCAAAGGCAAATGAGAAACACAGGCACCTTGAAAATAATAGATGCGTTTCATGGTGGTTTTTCATAAGAAAGACGTATTAAAAACGGAGGTGTACATATTTATAGTATCTCGGAAATCTCGTTTGATATCGTTATATTTAAAAGAAAAAACAAAATCGTTTGAACAATTGTCGTATTGAAAAAAATAAAGAAACTTCCAGAGATACGCTATGCTATTAAATGAACGAAGTTCGTTAATCTCTTTCCGTTTATTTAATTTTACTGACTAGAGCGTCGATCGAGTAATACATAAAATTACCTTTACAACTAAAACTAAACGGACATCGACGAGGGACTCTTATCTTTTTTTCT